AACCATAATCTTAGACACCTAAATGAATAATTTTATTCTATAAATCTGCGTACTATTGAAAGCAGTTTCTTCTTGTTATTTATTTTAAATCAAAGAAAATAATATTTTTCTACTCTCTTTTTTATGCTGAATTTCAAAAAACAAATATTTTTAAGAAGCTAAGAGAAATAGATTACAAAAACTTAAGAAATGGTTTTGGAAAAAAGTAACTTTGGTCATATCTATGATTTTATCAGTATTTAGAGGCTTTTGCAACGAAAGAGGGACATAATTGAAGCAAAAACAACCTAGTCGTAACCAGCTCTTCAAACTCTATCAGACCATATGTAAATTGATGAAAAATAAAATCCACTGAAATTTTACATTCTATACACGTTAATAGATGGTAGCATACACTAGTGGAAGTAATTAATTATTTATCTACCAAAGTATAGTATGCTACCATATTTTCTCCTAAAATAGTAGTATATGGTTTCGCAGCTTATTCAATTTCCTATCGAATAGTATATGCTTTAAAATCTTGTGCTTAATTTGTAATTCAAAAAATGCACGAGAAATACTTCAGTTGTAATGAAAAAAGACTTTCTGTTTTTTTTTGTCTGTGAGAAATCTAACCACAATGAAAATTCCACTCCACTCACTACACATAGAATCCGATGAGGCATATTTCTACTATAGATCTTTTTCTATGATAATGAGTTTTATATTATAATTTGCAGAAAAGATTTTTAAAAAGACTGTTGAAAAAATAAAAATTCATCTAATAGAAAAAATAGTATTTCTCGTAGTTGAAAACGTTTTGTTCGAAAATTTTTCGAAATTTTATCTTTATAGTCAACCAGAAAATGACATATAACTTATAAAAGTCGTAACTCGCGGAAAAGGATTCCGTTTGCTGAAAACATTTGAGTTTATGATGTCTCATTTTTTCCACAAAACGATAAAAAAAATATACATTGTAAGAGATGAAGGAAGTATCTTTAAAAATAGAATGATATCTGTAAGTTTTAGAAACTAAAAAACTTGTTTTTTTCGTCTATCAGAGATCGTATTCTTTGAAAATTCTTGTTGGAAATAAATTCCTCGACACAAATTACTGTTTAGATTCTTATAAGTATTTGTAACAGTGGAAAAAAATTGAAAATAAATCTGATCGAATAATTTTAGTAACTACTCGAATTCTATTGTGATTTCTCATTGACGCAAAAACTATGGAGAGCTAATCACTATTTAGGAGTTTTCAATATCATTTATTCAAATATTATTATAGTCCGATTTCATAAAAGAATTTCTAGAAATGAATTTTAGTTTCTAAGATTGAAATCTTTGGTTGCACTATTACTCTTCATATGTTCTGTTTGTAAAAAGGAAAAAATTCTTGTTTTATCATACTATTCAATTGATATCTAATGGACTTTTCTCTATATTAAAGTGAAAAGTGCTTCGAATAAAACTTCAACATTTATCTATTATTATTTTTAACTACGTAGTAGAAGTGAGTAATAATAATAAAAATAGTCAACAAAATAGATAAAGAAAAAAAAATGACAATATTAGAAGAAAATATGACAAGAAAAACAAGTTGTTGAATAAAATTTTACGTTTAAAACGAGAATAGATTTTTTTTTCTTTTCATAACTGAAGTATGTCGACAAACGAATTTAATTTCATATAGATCAAATTTTTTCTTTTTTGAATGTAGTTGATCAATAATGTTTACATCATACGTAAACCAATGAATGAATATATATATATCAAATCCTCAATTGATTTTTTCTTTTCTTTTGTTGTTCTCTCTCTATTCATCGAATAGGTTTCAATCTGCTGCCACCTCTAACCATTACTTACAACGGTATAATAAATCCTACATTCATTTTTTTTCTCTGCTTGTCATATTGTCGTCAGCTGCTGCTTTGTTTGCCACATGTGACACATCGTTGTGATGATTATATATTTTATATTTAGTGTTATAACCACGCGGAAGAACAACAGACAGACACACATACTCACATAGAAACATATAGTTGATAAGATATAACAATGCATCTTTTAGGCGAACTAGCCAATGTAACATGGTTACGTTTAGAAGATTTACTTAAGGATTTAGATGAACCTGATAAAGAACGTCAAGCATTTGTTAATGACACTCGACAATTTTTTGAACAACGTCTTTCAATTTATGAACAAAAACGAAATGAATTAGAAAATTCTATTAAAAATTTAACTGAACAAATGTATCAATTATATGATGAACTTCAACTACCACGAATAACATTTGATAATAATCAAATGACATTAATTGAAAAAAGAAATTATATTAATGGAAAAATAGATGAATTAAAAAATATGATATTAGAACGTCATAAAAAACTTATTCAGTTACGACAATTAATTAATATTAAAACAAAATTATGTGGAAATATTAATATTAATATTGATGAGGTTAGAAAATCAAATCATTTCTAAGACATTTTAATCATCATTTTTTTTCTTTCCTTTTTTTTGAACTAATTTTGGACTACTCTTACGCAAGTGGAGAAAGACATAATGGAGTGTAGACATGCCAGGACAATAAATTTAAGTACAGGACATATAATTTCTTTTGATAGACTAGCAGATGAATTAATACTTTAACCTTTCGTTCTTTATATCTTAGACAAGATTATTGCGTGAGAAAAAATTTTTATTGTTTGATATATCGCTTTAGGTGCAAGGATATCCTTGACCATTATCTTGAGAAATAGTGCGCTTTTATTTTACCGATTCAATGAAAATCATTCGTGTTCTATGATGAAAATTCTCAGAGAAAAATCATAGTTGACAAAAGAATATCCTTCGATGTATCTACGAATTTTGTTATCAAAACTGTTTAGAATTGTTAATGCAAATACTTTAATCTCAAATCTCAAATCAATTAAGACCTTAATGCTTCTTAAGGTAAAGTTCACAGTCAAACAGTTTTTTTTACTGATTATCATATATATATTATATATAACTTAAATACAAATCTTTGAAGGTCTAATTTATCCTTTAAAGATAATGATTGAACAAAGTTATAATCAGCTTGACACTGAAACAGCTGCTCTATAAACTAATCGATTTTCTAATCGAGCATGAACAAGAAAAAAAGTTAAACTACTGTAGTTGACCTGTTGATGGAAATACAATAGTATGACTTTTTTAAAAATAAAATCTTCTAATTCGTAAATAATTACCAATTATGAATATAATATCAACATATACAATTACAAAGGAAGTGAATAAAAAATTGGATCATTGTACGTAGAAAGAGCTATGAAATATTTCTTTTTTGTACAATGGCAAACAAAAGCACTTGATCAATGCTTTTGACCTTGTACAAGAAAGTGCTTGAAATATAGAACATTATTAGAACGACTGCAAGAAAAAATAACAGGAAAAAAGAACCATGTCTTGCAGGTAACGGAAAAAATCTCATCAAACAAAAAAAAAACATTCTACACATGGTCAAAATGATCTCGATCTTTTAATGAATAGTCACTAATAGATAAGAACAATCAATGAGGTTTGACGTGATTATATAACGGAATAGATACGATAAGTTTATAGAGATACTCTTACCACACAAAGAGGATAATAACTTAATTTAATCATTATCTCTTGACAAGTAAATAGCTTTTAAAAAAAAACTACATTGTTTGTCAAATTTATTCAACATCAATTAAGTAATAAATTGATTGATGATATGATAAATAAAGCATATAACTATAGTTCATTGTTCATTTTAATAATAAACATTTAATTTTTATTGGAATATATAAATAATATAGACATTATTGAGAAACAGAAATTTATTAGAAATGCCGACAATTGCTTGACCGTCGAATAGAAAGAATGAGAATAAAAGCTCAATTACGATGGAATATTTATTATCGAAAGATAAGTCTCAATATGCGAATAAATTCAATAAATTAAAAAAAAAAGGTTCTAGATGACTGTTATTTTGTTTTTCGGCTCACATTTAATTGTCACTTTCCTATTTATTAATCATAATCTCATGAAAACTTGTCATGTCACCTTCATGTATTTTTTTTTTGAAACAACTCAGTGGCTTAATTTGTGTAAGATTGATGTATAAAGAACTCTAGAACATAATCAAAAATCTTCTTTTTTGAGATTAAAACCACAACAATTCATTCTGTTCATATCTTGGAATCTTTTAACGTAAGAGGGTCAATATGAAAGTCTAATGTGTTACAGGATACGAAAAAAAACATCTTGAGATGTAGTCTTTGACAAAGGGTAGAATTTGGTTTTTTTATCTGAATTAAAACTTAAAAAAAAAAAAAAAAGTTTCGTTCATGTCTACATGTTTTCTAAAACAAAAAAAATGGTGATCTTGCTCTCGAAATAGCTACCTTTCATTGTAATAAAGGCTTTAAAATCCATTTGATTGCTGCATGATGAGTCTACATCAATTGGTCGCAATGCTGAAAAATAAAATCGACAAAATAAGTTTCTTAATATGATAGAGAAATACTCAGAGGTGTCAAGAAAATAACTAACAATCTATTCACGAACAAGAAACATTAGATATGAGAACAAACATGAATGTTTATTAAACTCTTCTAATTGGGAATGAAATTTTAAATATGAATAAGTAATAGTTGCTTTAAAAGCTTCCCATAATCCTTATATTTTCTCCTATTTTGGAATTTTTCTCTATTAAAATTTTTGCTATTTCAGAATGAATGTAGTTTTTGTCTTTTCGTAACACTTCAATAAATTTAACATGTAAATATCAGCATTCAATGACCATTTACCAGCAGAATCATCTACAAATTCATTCCATATGCTCAGTCTTTATTTTTCAAATTTCATCCGCTCATTCAGAGATAAAATCAGTACCGGTCGTTATCGGTTTGTCTTATTTATCTTCTCGCTCTTATTATTTCATAGAGAATGTATAAGGAAACTTTGTTGAAAGTTGATTACATCAAATATCACTATTCACAGATGGAATAGTATGACAACTCGTTAATTCAGTACCGATATCGATCATGAAAAGTCTAGATCAATTTCATCTGGTCCTTACCCTGGCGGGGTGCTGTATGTGATTCAATCACATGTCTGCAAATAGAGATTTGTGAGAAATGAAATAGGAACTATGATTCTGTCAAATATGTGACTAATTGTTGTAGCGTTCATTTGTTGCTGCAGCCAAGTGACAGTTTCCCTTGCATGATAAATTGAAATATATTGATTTAATATTTTTTTTTTTAAGATTACTTCGATTGCTCAAGCTAATTCGACTTTATCCGAAGTAACAAATCAATTGAACAAATTAAAAGAAGATATTCGTATTCTTCTTGATAAAATCTATTCTTTAAACCCTGAAATAACTTCAGATCATCTTAATCTTGCTAAATCATTTCTATCTCTTAAAGATGAGAATGAATCATCTTGGCTTACTAATCATTATCCATTAACCGGTAGTTCATTACATTCTCATCTGATTACTGAATATGAACATTTACGAGAAATACTTCTTGCTGAAGTTATTTGTCTTCGTACTGAACTTGATCAAAAAGAACCACCATCTCCGTATGATTTAAAACAAGAATTATCAAATTTACGTTTACGTAAAAGATATTTATCTTTATTATCGGGTTTTCCACATAATCTAACATCACGTTCAAGTTTGGATGAAATTCGTCAAACTTATGAAAAATTAACAGCATCATTACGTGCACAAGCTCATGAAAAACTAAAACGTCTATGGGATCAATTAGATGTACCAAATGATCAACGTATTATACCTAAAACACAAGATAATGAAGATGATTATTTAGCAATGAATGATGAAATAAATCGACTTGAAATCTATGTTGAATCAATTCGACCACTTCTAACTAAAATTCAAAAACGAGAATGGTATAAAAAGGAAATGGTCGAATTTGAAAAACGTGCAGCTGATCCAGCTAGACTACGTGGAAATTCAACACAATTACTTAAAGAAGAACGATTTCGTATGGAATATTATTTTAATAATTATTATTAAATTTTCTATCTTAATTCATTTTTTTTTCTAGGTAAAGATCTTTCACGTGAATTTCCAAAATTAACTGATGATTTACGTCATATGGTTACTGAATGGGAAGAATCAACTGGAAAAAAATTAATTTATGGTGGTGAATCTTATTTAGAAACAATGAATAAAGAAAAATTAAGTGTAGATTTTGAATTATTACATTTACGTTTACTTACAAAATGTCACATTGTTGTACAAGGAACAACAGATGATACGATATCAATCACAAGTAGTATTCAATCAGCATCTACCTCACCACGCTCAACACCTCTTCCACCTCCACCAATGTCTCCTCCTCCAATACCATCAACACATAAAATAACAACGAGTCGAATACCAACAATGAGTTTTATAAACAGTAATAGAAAAATAAATAAACACGCATAATAAATTTTTGTAGATATATGAATTCTTTATTTTAAAAAAAAAAGGTGTTTTTATTTTTTATTGAATATTATAATAAAGATTATCGAATTGTTTTGATATATCTCTAACAAAGTAAAATATTGAAATAAATTTTTCATGTTTTATATTATAAGTAAAATCAACTAAATATGCAAAAATGTCAAGTTAAATTCATAAAGAAAATGATTAAAAGTTATTGATTGATATTAATGCCAACGGATTAATATATATATATATATGCATTTTGTTAATGAAAATAAAAATATCACGAAGATCTTTATAATTTCATTTAAATCGAAATTCTCAATATAAATTGATTTTGTTTGTTATTTCTTTGAACACTTTTGGTACATAAGAAAAAAACTTTCGTTCTATTATTATTCCATTTTTAACGAATGAAAGAATTTTTAGAAGGTCGAACGATGATTATATCTAAAGAATGAAATTAGTCACTTTATTTAAATCAGACAAGAAATTAACAGTTTTCATTTTTTACTAGCTCAGGTTAAATTCTATACAAGTAATGTGTACACAAGAATATATTTCCCTCTAAGTATATTTTCAATATCACTGTCAAAGTTCATTGCCGTGCCTTAATCGTTTTGTCAAACATGATCGAAAAGGAGTATTCAAGTATATGGCGTAGCAATTTCTACTCCATACAGACCATGACACACATGACAGGCATCCCTTGATAGCGTTTTTTCTTCATCACAAATATAATTATAGAAAGGTCACAGATCCTTAGCATTGTCCTCTCCGTCCAACGCTTCTCCATTGCAGATCATGACAGACGTATTGATACACAATATCGGATCGTATGTCAATAATATCTCGTTATAATATATGGACTAGTTCTTTATTACATTTCTGGATGATTAAGTAAGAATATGATGAATGTGTCCCAAAATAGAATGAATATAATAATTTTCATGTGATTAGCGAGAGCAGCTATATCGTATTTTACATTTTAATCCCGTAGAGATTATACTAACAGCTTGTTGTAAAAAGATTCGCGATTCAATTTTCTACAAGAATGCATCACATGTTTTGCTGCAATATGCTAAGCAGAAATATGATATAATTAAATATTGCGAAGATCTAATGTACTCAACTTTCAAAAGTTATTTTTTCAGAACAATTGAACATTTTTTTTTCTTGATTTAAACAACCATAAAAACGTGACATAGTGCATTTAGAAATATAACTTAGTACTTTGTTTCGAATGATGTACTATGAAGTTCGTTTCAGTCAAGCCTTTTTGTTCTGAAACAAATATTACTTTTTTAAAACTGAGTGAAAAACATATAAAATTTTGCTTGTTTTTCGTAATGTTTTCAAATAAAAGCCTCTATTCAAATTCGGCCATTACAGTTCGATGCATCACTCATTTGTCTTACAATTGAAATAAAGCTAAGTTATATTGACTTAATGTGAATTTTTCTGAAATTTCCAAAATCACTGGTTCAAAACTTTTATTTTTATAAATTTTGAAAGAAGAAGTAATTCATTTATGTAGTAGATATTGCTACGAATATTTAACTAGCCTGATTACACTAAACAGACATGTTTTTTTTGTTTGCGAAAGTTGGCCATATGAAAGTCTCACGGTGTTATTCATCTAATCCTTTTGTTTCATATTATCTACCAAAATTTGTAATACCTTCTTATAGAAAACCGAATCGTGCGTCCTTTTTTTAGAAAATAGATTAAGGCATGTTGATCAATCGTGACAACGACAATAAGAAAATACTTACGAGGGAACATTCCCAACTGTTTATCGCCGATCGAAGTGATATTTTGCCCATAAGCAGAACTCAATGGGACTAGGAAAAGGCTAAAATGATTCGTCCCCATAGACCTTCCTTCTGGAGTTATGACCATTTTTACGAACTTTCCGGCTTAAGGCAAGCTATTCATAAAAAAGCCAAAAAGAAGGAATTGCCATCTCAAGTTTTGCCACTAGATAGAGCGTNGCTCGAATTCTTTTTTTTCTGTCTAACGAGGGAACATTCCCAACTGTTAATCGCCGATCGAAGTGATTTTTTGCCCATAAACAGGACTCAATGAGACTAGGAAAAACCTAAAATGATTCGTTCCGATAGGCCTTCCTTCTGGAGTTATGACCATTTTACGAACTTTCCGGCTTAAGGCAAGCTATTCATAAAAAAGCCAAAAAGAAGGAATTGCCATCTGAAGTTTTGCCCATAAGTAGATCTTATGATCTTTAGGACATCCTGAAAGTTTCAGTCGAAATGGATGGTTCCTTCTTGAGATATTGAAAATTCAAAAGAACGATCATATGTCACAAAAAACATCATAAAAACGACTTTTCTTTAGTATTCTATATCTCGAAAAGGAACCATCCATTTTGACTGAAGCTTTCAGGATGTCCTAAAGATCATAAGATCTACTTATGGGCAAAACTTCAGATGGCAATTCCTTCTTTTTGGCTTTTTTATGAATAGCTTGTCTTAAGCCGGAAAGTTCGTAAAAATGGTCATAACTCCAGAAGGAAGACCTATGGGAGCGAATCCTTTTAGCCTTTTCCTAGTCTCATTGAGTCCTGCTTATGGGCAAAATATCACTTCGATCGGCGATTAACAGTTGGGAATGTTCCCTCGTTAGTTGAACATTTATTCCAGCGTACCCATTATAACGCTTACTATTAAATTCTCTATCTAAAATGAAAAGTTATTCTTTTAATTTATATCATGTTAATAAGTTTAACACATTGAGATAATGAGGATTTAGAAAAACTTACCGTCAGTTTCTTTTATTCTAATTGACATTATTGCATATTAAGTAGAAGAAGAAAATACATACAAATCAGAGATTTAAAATGAATAAATCTCTGATTTGTTCTAATAATGAATTTAATTGATTTTAAACAAAAAAAACAAATTTATTTCGATTAACTTTGTGTTGTACTCCTTGAAAATGTTGAATTACGAATTATATAATCTGTATGTCTATTGTTTACAACTAAATTTCGAACTTGAATACGAAAATTTGGTGTTGAAATATAGAAGACATAAAAGCTAGTTACAGGATTAGTATAATATAAAATTGATGATATAACATGATAGAGAAAAAATTTTGATGAATATTCATAATTATCATCAGCAACTAAAACATCATAAATTTGTTCAATACAATTTGGAATTGATGATAATATAATAGCAATGGACATTAATAAAAGCATACGAGCTAATTGTCTATCACCATTCAAATGATTAGATGGATTATGTTTTGTTATAATTCTCAATTGTCTAAATGTTAACAATCCAAATATTGAAAGAAAACTAATTGGAATTATTCCATGTAAAGATATTTGAAAAACATATAAATAATAATAAGAATATCGAACGGAAACTATTATACATTGACCAATATTTGAAACATTGTAATATATTATCAATGGTATGCTATGTGATCCAACAAGAATAATAATAAATAATATAATCAATTTTGTTCTCTGTCTTTCTGTACTCATTTGTCGTAGACGAACTTTTCTTGATGATAATAAATATCGATCGAATGTTGCCATACAAATACATGTTAGCGATATTAAATCAAATGTATGTAATATATAATATCGTAATTTACATAAAATAATTACATTCGTTTTTGTTACTCGATATTGATAGCCATCAAATAGAATACGAGTAAAAAGTGGATAAATAATTATAATTAAATTAGCAAAAGATGATGCAAATAAATATAAAGAACTATTACTAGTTCGGTTACAATTATTGTATCTATTGGACTTTTTTCGTGAACGAGACCAGATAGCAAATACACAAATATTTAAAAAATTTCCAATTAAACCAAATATACACATTATAATACCAAAAATAATCATTATCTTATGTGCAATTGTATTAAATCGATCTATTGTTTGTGCGTAATACATTCATAAAATATTTTTTGCAAAATGAATGACAAGGAAAAGAAGACTTATGGTTAATACATCTAGAAGAGTAAGCGAATGTCAATAACAAAATAGAACAAAAGAAGTCTCTGCATTTATTCATTATAAAGACGTCATGAATTCTCTTTAATATATTTAAAATGCCGAAAATTCATAATTTAAGTAATACTCTTTTCTGATGTTTTTATTTTTGTCATGATTGCAAGGATTCATCTAGTTGCTCATGGGAAAATCTTCTTTTTGACATATTTGGACAATACTTTTGTCGTCAAACTTAAGAAAAGCCAATAATTAATTGAAATACGCTTAAAGTATCAATATTTATTCGAATTCTTATTTTTTTTTAATTTTACTCGTCATATAGTGAAGAAAAAAAATGATATATTGTTTTATTGTTGAAAAAAATCAATTTCTTCGATATAATAAGCAAAACCCTATACGTACGAGTTCATACTGAGAGATTCTGTCTATTAGAACTTCAATTCCAAATAAAACGAATAAAATAATCGAAATTAGCAGAAAAATCTACATTGAATAGTATACTCAATATTTCATTGTTATTTTAACATAATCTGACTTGCAGTTCCTGTCAGGTGGAGTTTTGTCGAATATTAGTTTTACCTAATGAGTATACTATTCGATATAGATTTATTTATTTAATGATTCTCAATATTATGTTGGTTTTACTTCGAGCTGCAATTCTTATAGTCTAAATCTAAGAATATGATTCATCTCTATGACCTTTTGCTACCATATCGCAGAAATCAATTTTCTTAATAATGAAAAAATATTTTTCGAAAGTCATTGCGTAATTTTTGTCCTAACCATATGACGAGTAAAATCAAGAAAAAAAAACTCAGAGAAATATTGTGCGTTAGGTGTATTTCAATTTTTGTAGGTTTTTCTGATTTTTGTTTTCAACCTAATTTTCTCTAGTTCGACTACAAAAACATTGTTCAAATATGTCAAAAACAAGATTTTTTGAGGTAATTCGAGGAATTTTACCTAACCATGATAAAAGATAAAACTTTAGGAACAAAATATTGCTCAAATTACGAGTTACGGGCACTTTAAAAAGACGTCATAAAAACTGGTTGCGTGAGCTGTTTCTTTTTTCTGGCAAAAAAAAACACAAGGAAAATGTTAATTGTGAAGTAGAACTAATTCCAGAACTTCTCTGCATTTTTTCATTAAATATTAATTTTTTATAATATAAGATACTATATCCTATAAAAAGAAAAATCAATAAAATTAACGTCCAAGAAAGAAGAAAAAAAAACACCTAAATCTAAATATATATTCATCAAATTTGATTTAAAACAAAAAGCATACCTACAAAGACATTACTTCATTCAATTTAATGATAAATTCTCTTTAACTTTCCGTTTGTTTTTTGTTGAATGATTTATATATTCTTTTTTCTCATTGTGTTTATATAGTCTCACTAAAAAAACTAAAAGAATACATTAATATGTGTAGGAGTATGATCATAGTCATCATCAGCCAATGTTATTTATAAGAGAATTCTTTGTCACCATAGAATCCTCTTGCTTGAGGATGACAACATGTTTTTTTCATTGTTTGTATAAATCGATCTCATACTAAGAAAGTTATTAATGCATGTGAAGGTCACTATCAACATGATGTTATCTAGTATAAATCATCATTGGTTGTCGATAGCAAGCAAGAGTGTAATAGTTAGACATAAGAACTTTACATTGATTATATACTTTGTTATTTGAAAATATTTCTTCCATTAACGTTAATGAGAACGTTGTCAGTTTCCATATTGTCAATGAAATATATCTATAGATAATAATTCGTAAAGATTTGTTAAATAGTAGAAATAATGAGAAATGAAATAATCCTAATAATTGATATTCAATAGAAAAATAAAATATCTTGAGAAACCTTGTGACTTTTTATATCAAAGAAACTCAAATAAAAAACTAGAGAATGTTAAATGTTCAATTATATATCCTACTGAAATGACAGAAAAAGATTTTCATTAACTCTATTGAAACATTCAGATGATTAGTATCGTGATGCACTCGGGTTTTTTTTTCTTTACCTAAATTATTTTGACTAATGTTAATTGCGAAAATTTTTGTAATTATAAAAAAAGAAGAAGAATGTCTAACTTAATCTAACAACTAAAACAAACAATGTTCAAAAGTATATAACTTCATCATTCTCAGTAATAAACATAAACAATAGATATGAATAACTTCACATGACAAGTAATTACAATAATACACTTTGATCATCTCATTACAACTGACTTTTTACTGAATAAACTCTATGTAACATCCGTTCCATGTATAGCTAGAAAAATATATTGAATTGTTTTATCTTTTGTTATTTCGATACAATAGTATATGGATTTGACTATTTTATTCTTTACTTGTTCAACATTACATGGACTAAGAAGCTCGAATGTGTATATAATCCTACATCTGTGTAAGCGTTCTCTACAATCTCTTGAGTGATTAAAATGACAGAAAAGTTATTATGAATGATTAGACTTTTGATCTATATCACAGTGTGAATGAAGAAAAGAATCATTCGTTGTATCGCTTTTATGATAGAATTGTAGAGAGAAAGAAGTCCCATTACAAAGACTTATAATGGTACCTAGAATGTAAAGAACATTATAAATAGAATTACTTACAAAGATTCAATGCTGTCTTAATCAAATATATATCGTAGCCGCTGAGAATATCAATCGCATTGCCCTTTATATGTCATGAGTCGCTTGGGATTTCATTTATAAAATAAATTAATTATGAGTATGTCGAGCATCTTCATTTCTGTTGCATTGTCTTTTTGAGGACAAACATGTTGCTTTAACCGATGATCAATTTTTTGTTTATTTTTTCTTTGTTATATATTCTATGGGTCAATCATGTTTTCTTTTACTGGTAAAACTGGTGAAAAAGAAAACTACGAAGAAGATAATATTGATATGTACAAATAAAGTATAATTTAGGGAGTATGAACAGAAGAACTTTGAATAAATGATTCCTATATTTGTTTATAATTTTTCTGAATTTCTAACATATTCTCGTTCATGGTGATAATGGAGTTAAATTGATAAAAAAAATTATTCTTTGAATAATGTTGACTTGATCTGACATACTTTGAGAAAACAACAAGAAATAGAGGAAAGAAACTTTTCTTTCATAATGTTACCATAATAATATGATTAAAATGTCTGTTTATCTAAAAGATGACACTTTTCAAAGTTGAAAGAAAATACATTTAATTTTGTTTTTAAAGCTTATTAAATATCACTTAGTCATTTTTATGAATTCTAACAACTCTTTATTTTGAAAAAACCATTATATCTATTAGAAATACAATATTTATATTTTAATAAATCATGTTTATTATTCTGATAAGCATTAGTTAAGTTATTCTCAGCTATCTTTTTTGTTTAAATCCCGCTAGCGTACAAAACTTTAATATACTTATCTGTGTTCGCCATGCTCTCTAATATTAGTACATTATTAATTAATAGAAAAAGAAAAAATCATCTAGAGTGCCTTTTTTCCTATTTCATTATGATAATTATTTTTCTCGTCGATTTTATTCTGTACAAGTTAAAATATATTGATTGTCTACGAATGAGATTGGTGAACTTCATTTTTGAATGTATTTTTCTTTAGAAAAATAAATTCTTACAAATTCGATTTATTTTGTAAATGAATAATTATTTTTCTTCAGAATAATAATTCTCTATTGTAAAGTTAGTACAAAGGTCATTATAGTTAACTAAATGACCGTCATGTTTTTTTCTTAAAAATAATTGAATTTTCTTTGTCGAAAGGTACCCTTAATGAAGAAATATAAAAAACATGAAGCCTTGATACTGTATTCTTATAAAATACAGTTTACGTAACGACCTAATAAAGGAAAAAAAAAATATATATATACTGATGCATCTAAAAGATACTTACCTGAAGAAAAAAATTGAATATGTTGTTCATATTTTAATCAAATATTGTTTTTATGATTAAGATAGAAATGTTCATAGTGCATATTCATAAGAAACACGTTAATAAAAATATTTTGAAGTACTCAACAATTGACTTCAATAAAGAACAGTAGTCTTGCATGACTTTTGAAAAAAAAGTGTTTTTATTTTCTAGCTAAAGATAACGGCGCATGTAAGTTTTTCTATTAATTCTTGATATTATTATTGCTTCGTCCTTGTATTTGTTTCACAGGTACATATCGAATTATCCAGTGTATGCTGAAAGTTTTAACTATAGATAACGACAATCTAATGAGAAAGCTACAAGTGTCGACTGTAACCTAAGATGGTTATAACTATAATTTGTTCTTACAATTAGTTCGTTATCATTTTTTCTAGTTTATTTTGAAGTTTTAGATACTAGTTAGGCGTCTTTTGAAGTTTGTTACTACACGAGAATATTTTAGGGAGTTAAATGGTATTGAAAAATGCAAGTTGAACTAGAAAAGATAATAAATTGTAATTACAATCATCTTAGACTACACTCGACACTTTTGTAGTTTTCTCATTAGATGTTTGTTATTTATAGCTGCAACTTTCAGCAAACACTAGATAACTCGATATGTACCTGTGAAATAAATACAAGGACGAAGCGATAATAATGTCAAGAACTAATCGTCGACAATATTGCATGCATCATTTTGTTGACTAGAAAATCAATATATCTTTTTTCATAAGTCGCGCAAGGCTACTATTCTTTATTAAAGTCAATCGTAGAGTACTTCAAAATACTTTTATTAAATATGTTTCGTATGAATATGAGTTATGAACATTTCTTCATTAATCGTAAAAACATTATTTCATTTGATCAAAACATGACGAACATATTCGATTTTCTAATTCAGTTAAGCAGCTTTTAGACTATTCTGTCAAAAATAGCTGTTAATCATTACCATGAGAAATCATAATATAACACAATTGATTCATACAATATGGCATAGCAAAAATAATATAATACCAATAGACATTAATAAAAGTATACAAGATAATTGATTATCATTATTAGAA